GGCTTCAAGAGGCCGCCAAGAGGCCCCGAGAGGCCCCAAGACGCGCCCAAGACGCACCCAAGAGGCCTCCAAGAGGCCCAAAAGATATCCCAAGAGGTGTCCAAACGGCCTCCAAGAGGCCCCCGAGAAGCTCCCCACGACACCATAACACATATACAAGAAGCCTCAGACCCACAACCCAAGCACGGTGGCGGGATGGGCCGAAGGCCACTAGGATCCGCCGCCCCCTTTTGATTGATCAAAGGGGTGCCTGGCGTGCCAAACGATGTGGTTTTTGGTTTGGGCTCTTTTTCCAAAAGAACTCCCCCTGGGGTTTCGGCCCGTCCCGCCGGCCACCCAGAAAGGATCTCAAGGAGCTCAATCCGGAAAAAAATCCTCCAAGATGGTTCAATATGGCCTCCTCCTCCTCCTCCTCCTCCTCCTCCTGCTCCTCGTCCTCCTCCTCCTCTTCCTCCTCCTCCTCCTCCTCCTCCTCCTCCTCCTCCACCCATTCCTCCTCCTCCACCCATTCCTCCTCCTCCTCCTCCTCCTCCTCCTCCTCTCCTCCTCCTCCTCCTCCTCCTCCTCCTCCTCTCTTCCTCCTCCTTCCTCCTCCTCCTCCTCCTCCTCCTCCTCCACCTCCTCCTCCTCCTCCTCCTCCTCCTCCTCCTCCTCCTCTTCTTCTTCCTCCCTCTCCTGCCTATGGTAGCGGTGGTGGAAAATGGGTTCGCCGCCGATTCTGTCGCTTCGCCGTTTCGGGCTCGCCGCGAAGCCAGCGCCGATCGCGAAGCCCTTGGGCGCTGGCCCCGTCCGCCGCCCCCTCCACCGCCGCCGACGTGCGAGGCGGGAATATCTATCCACACCCACCGCCTGGGCACCGACGTCCTAGTACCCCTGCGGGCGGTGGATATGGATATATATATATATATGCTCAGCCCCCCCCCAGCACCCCGTCCCGCGATAATTCCGATGATCCTCCTCCTCGTCCTCCTCCCGCATCCTCTTACGCGCCTGCGCGGTGCTCGAGATTCGCCGTCGTTCGGGAGCAGTGCTGGTCCTGCCAGGGGGGTCGCGCAGAGTCCGCTGCCCTCGAAGTTGGGTCGCGCAGAGTGCGCTGCCACTTCTATGATGTGAGGCTTGAGTAACGTATTTGGACTCTCCGCGCATTGCTCATTGCTCATTGCTCCTCCTCCTCCTCCTCCTCCTCCTGCTCCTCCAACCCATCCTTCTCACTCTCTTTTTCCTGGTCCTGCACATCATCATCATCATCATCATCATCATCTTCCTTCTCTTACTCCTACCCCTCATCATCCGCCCTCCTCCTTTTACTTGTCCGCCTCCTGATCATCATCATCCTATTCTTCCTCATCGTCATCATCATTGTCATCATCCTCATCATCATTATTATCCTCATCATCCTCTTCTTCCTCCGCGCCCTCATATTCCTCATCTTCCTCATCAGCCGCATCATATTCTTCATCCTCCTCCTCCTCCTCCTCCTCTTCCTCATCCTCCTCATCCTCATCTTCTTATTTACCCTCTTCATTCTCACCCTCATCATCCTCATCATCCTGCTCGTCCTCCTCCTCCTACTCCTCTTCATCCTCTTCTTTCTCATCCTCCTCCTACCCCTCACCCTCCTCCCTCCTCAGTTTCCTTGTCCGCCTCCTCATCCTCATATTCCTCTCCCTCCTCCGCCTCAGCCTAACTGGGTGCAACCATCCGTAGTTTGTTATGAATCGAGTGGTTGTTTTTTGTTTGCTACTTCTCTCCCCAGCGCTGCCGCCACAGCGCGCCATGCCAGCTGCATCAGCGAAGGCCGTGAAGACTAAAACCGACAGGTGTCGCGATCGCAAGCGCGCCAAGTCCTTGAAGAACTGGATCGCCAAGCCGTGGGTCAAGCAGTACCTGAGGGAGGCTGCGCAGAGACACCTGCGGAAGCATCACAAGACGTGCGCAGCTTTGCGGGGCGAGAAGGCCGCCCTCGCTCAACAGGTCAAGCGCCAGCGCAAGGACCTTTTCAACATGCGTCGCGATGTCTTCGTGGCCCAGGTGTCGGGGTGGACTTAAAACACTTCCTTGGCCCTTAGGCGCATAGCCACAGCAACGTAACAGGCGAACAACGACGTTGTACCGCCCAATACACCACGTCACCAACGGACGACAACCGTAATCCATTAGCAACGCGCAATAGCGCAACCACATCATTAAACACACACACACACACACACACCACCAAACAACAGCAACACCACCAACAACAATACAATGCACAACAGAACCCCCACCCAGCGCGCAGCCGAGAACAACCAGCGCGCAGCCGAGAACAACCAGAAGGCTTTCCAGAAGGCCAAGAGCAAGAACGACAAGCTGGAGCACCTGGTCGAGGAAACGGCGCGCTTGAGGCACGACGGCGCGCCTGAAGGAAGCGAGCAAGGGCTGGCCTTCTAGACAACCAGGAAGCGAGCTTTTGAAAAAAAAGCGCTGCCTGCGAGGGTCGTCTTTGGGCCTCTTGGAGGTCCTCCACGCGACCCCTCGGAAGCGGTTTTCCCAGCGGGCCAGCTCTTGCCCCGCTCGCCTTCCTTTCGGCGCCTCGCCGAAAAAGGCGGCAGGCGCAGAAGGCCAGAGCCCAGGGCAAGGCGGAGGGCGCGGCCGCGGCCACGCAGGAGGGGGCGAAGGAGCGCAAGCGCCTTGAGCAAGCCCTTTCTGAGAAGCAGGCTTGGCTTTGGAACACTCGCACCGTTGAACGCCGACGAACTTCGGCGCTCGCCCAGGCGCGCTCCTGGGAGGGCGTGGCCAAGTCCGTCGGCTTTCAATGTGCGCCCCCATCCAAGGTCAAGCGTTCTTCTCCGAATTGTCAGGCTAAGTACAACAAACTCTTGTCGGAGAAGTGCCGCTTCATCGCTCTGGCCACGGTCGCGCAGCGGGAGAAGTACTTCGAGCTCGCGAAGAAGGCTCGGAGGAGCACCCGTGACGGGTGCTTCGGCGACCAGTAGGCCGGCTGCCGCCGCTAATGCCGAATTCGGTTGCAAGGCGAGAAAACGAGCACAACTCAAAAGACCGCTGCTGGGGCCAGACCTAGTGAAGGCGAGAGGGGCATCCTGTTTTGGATGCCCCTTCCAGGGAATCCCGAGACGACCGGCGAGGCCACCGCCCCCCTCCGCCAGACCACGCCAAGACGGCTCAAGGAGCTTCGGAGACCGCTCCAAGACGACCCGCGGGCGGGCGAGAGAGCGGGGCGGGGGAAGGGGGCAGGAGAGAGGCAGAGGAATAGAGATGAGGATTTTTATGTGCGGGCTCAAGGGAGGAAAAACACGGGAACCCAAAAAATGGGTTCCCACCTCCGCCTCTGAAAAAGCCACTTTTCAGTTGCACGTGATTAATTACGCAGCCAGAAATGAGTGTGGGAAACAAGTATGCCGCAAACCATGCCGCATAATGTTTCAAACGTCACCGAAGCAATTGTGATCCTGACGGTGCTGCTGATGGTGCTGTTGCTGGTGGTGGTGCTGCTGGTGGCGCTGTCGGTGCTGATGGTGCAGCTTGTGATCCTGGCGGCGATGCTGTTGGTGCTGTTGCTGATGGCGGTGCTGCAGCTGGTGCGTCTGGCGCTGACGGCGCTGCTCATGTTACAAGGCAGACAGAAGCAGCGACAGAGCGCAGGAACGGCACGCCAGCGGCGGCGTACAGAAACCAGCAGAGCCCCCCTGCAAGAATGAGGGCATCCAAAAAATGGATGCCCTTGTAGCCACATAAAAACACAGAGAGCGAGAGAGAGAGAGAGAGAGAAAGAGCTGCTGCTGCTTCTGCTGGTGCCTCCCGTTGCCGCTAGCGCTCAGGCCTCCGCAGGGTGCTCAAACCCCCTCAAAGTTCTCCGCGGTAGTCTTCTACCCATGGCTTTCGAGTACGCCTTCGTGCCGCGCGCCATGCCTGGCCACGTTGGCCACGTCTTGCCGCCAGACGCGGCGTGGCGCAGGGTGGGGCGCACGCAGGCTCAGCGCTTGGCTGCTGGGGAGGACTTGAAGGCGGGGGGTAACCAAGTTTTTGGAGGGCCCCTCTCCCGCCACCGACCATCTCCTGATTTCGGCAATGAGGAAGCACCTTTGCTTTTGCCCCAGGATCGGTTCAACGTGTGCGTGTGGCCCGCGAACATTGAAGTGCGGGACAGCGGCAACCAGTTCTTTGCTCCCGGCTTCCACGGCAATTTGTGGGAGTCGAACGATCCCGCGTTCGATTATGTGATCGTCCGCCCGTACATGTACGCCGAGGTTGCGGCCACTTGCATCGGCCACGACGATCGCGCGCTCGCCTCGCCAGCCGCGATCGCGAGATCTTTCCCCGTCTGCGATCTGCCACATCGGTCAGACGCGGTCAGTTGCAGATCGACGATGCTCGTTGCGATCGGCCCGATCGATCTGCAGCGGATAGTGGCTGGCACGTCGGCGATGCGCGATGTCGCCCTGCGGTGGGTACTGAGGACCGCACGTGCATTGTGACGTTCACGTGCCGCGATTTTCCAGGATGGACCCATACGGCGGAGGTGCCGTGGTCGACAACCTGGGGGTTCATGGAGAGGATGGTGATGGCGTCGCTCTCGTTGCCCCGCCACCGCGATGTGCTGTTCGATGCCGACGGCGACCAGCCCTCCAACCGAATGCACGTGGGCCCGTCGTTCGGCCTGCGCGCGTCGGCGCGCCGCCGTCTCTGAGGCGCGGGCGGGGTGTGAGGGCATGGCGTTTGCCCCGCACATTTATATATTGGTTATGTGATGAAAGTTTGAAGCGCACCTGCTCGGAGTTCGGCATGAAAAGCTGTGATTTTGAAGCGATTGTGAATACATTTCTTCTGGCGGCCAGGCGTTTCCCACTCTTTTCGCCCTGCTTGCGATCGCCCCGAATGCCGCCCCCCTTCCCCCTCTCGCTTTCCCCCCCGCCAGTAATGCCGCGCACGTTTAGGCTCAAACATCAGTCGCCTCGTTCGCTCGCCACCTCGCGCACCTCCGCGCCGTCCGCGATGCCGAGGGCATTTCCGATGGGGGCCGCCAACCTGCCCGCCTGCGGCATGAAGTCTTTCGGGGTGTCCATGGGAAAAGAGGGGCACACCAACGACGTGATGGTGGCAGCCTGGGACAAGGCGAAGACCATGCCCGTTCTCGAGGTCCTTGCGAAGCCCGACGTTGTGGGGAACGTTGACAAGGCTGGTACTGCCGTCGTCTGGGACCTCCCCATCAAGCAGTGGCGCTATTCCGCGCGGCGCCCCATCAAGGGCTTCATCGACGTCATCGCGAATTGCGGCGACCTCTCGGGCGTCAACTGGGATGTTGTCAAAGAGGCCATGGCCGAGGGTCGGTACAACGCCTTGCCCCCACCATTGGGAATTTCCGATGCTGGCCAGAACGAGATCCCCTGCGTGATGAGCATGCACGTGTCCAAGTCCATGCCTGACGACGGCTACTTGGTGGTGAAGGTGTTCACGTTCCTCGGCGGCGGAGAGCCGATGGCGGCAATCCTCGAGAAGATCGTCGAGGGCGACCCGTGCGTCTTGGACTACCGCCCCGACACCTTCAACACTGTGCGGACGATGCAGGTGGCATTGGAGGCGATGGGTGGGTTGTTGTTCCGCTATTGGGGGCTGCCGAAGCCTAAGGCAGTTGCGGACATCGACGCTGGCGAGGTCGCGGAGAAGAAGGCCGCCCTCGACAGAGCGTGGGATTTCGTGCAGGCGGAGGCCCCCCGCGGAAATTTCGACGGCCAGAGGGTCCTGTGGTTGGAGCACCAGTACGTGGACCCTGACTCCCCCATCTACAACATGAAGCGGGAGTTCGTGAACAGCTTGATGAAGTGCATCGCGGACCGCGACCATTTCGCGACCAAGGAGGACTACTACCCGCTCCTGAAGCCAGACATCCGCAAGGAGTACCAGCCGATGACGAACAGGATCTTGAAGACGCTGATGGGGAACACGCTGCTTACGATCGGGGAGGCTGGCTTCGGGAAGACACCCTTCATGTACATCTGTGCCATGGCGACTGCGAGGCACAATGCAGACGTCGCTAATGAACGCCACCCAGGTCGTGCCAAGGCTGCTGTTCGGGTATCCGCAGAGATGGACTTCTTCCGCGGGGAGGTCGGGGAGCCCTGGGCGCCCTGCATCTTCGATGACGGCGACCTCGCAGATCAGCGGCCTCGCGTCCTCAAGGCCTTCTTTGACCCCACGCAGGCTGAGGCCATGACCTACGTGCGCTGGGGGGCCGCGAAGTTCGTGCGCGGCCAAGCGAGGCGGCTGGCGAAGTCGAAGCGTCGGGGCCAGCCAGGTTTCTCGAGTTTGGCTGTCAGATTTTGTTGGCTTTTTCCCAGGGAAGCGAATCCTGCGCGTCGGTCGGCCCCGCGCTTCGTCTTTGCCCAGGTTTGGCGGTGACAACGAATACAATGCCAGCGCTGAACCAAATGGCGAGGAGTGGGGGCTCGCGGCGACGTCGCCCGATGCTGCAAAGCGGACCACTGCCATCTTGGTGGACATGATTCGGCCCGCCTTCCCTAAGGGTATGTCCGAGAGCAACTTAGGGGCCATGCTCAAGCGGTGCAACGTCGCCCTGAACACGCAGCACTCGTTCTTCTTCAGGCCCGCTGGCAAGGACTCGGTCGTTGAGAAGTTGCCCCTCATGAGCAGCTACATCACGGCCGAGGCGGGCAAGATCTTGATGCGGTTCCTCAGGCACAAGAAGCGCCGCGACCAGGAGGAGTACGACAGGCTCCTCGCCTTTGAGAAGAAGGAGGTGCTCCAGCTCATGGCCGAGTCGCGCGCAGCAGCGGGCGCGGGCGACGGTGGCGGGGACGGCGCCGATGGCGCCGCCGCCGCGAGCAGCGCCCCAGCCGGTGCCGCGGCGCCGCGGGAGGCAGGCGTGGCGGGCGGCGTGGAGACCGCGCCCAACGACGGCGGGATGTCCGACCGCGGCGGCGGCGGCGCCGACGCGCGGGCCGTCTCCGCGGACGAGGAGGACGTGTTCGGCTTCGGCGGCGGCATGGGGGAGCCCGAGCCGACGCCCCCCAGACAGCTGACGGCCGCGCGGGACGTCCGCGTGAAGGAGATCATCAACGCCGAGGCCGACACGCTCATGATGGTGCCGTGGCAGGCGGGTGCTGCTCCTGGATCGAGCGGCGACGGGGGGGCGCCGAGTGGCGCGGCTGCGCCCGCGGACCCCGCGCCCGCCAAGCAGCCCCCGATCGTCGGCTGCCACGGTGCGCTCTCGGATGAGGACCATCGGGAGCAGGTGGCGATCTTTCGCAGCCTAGCCAAGGCCCACCACGGCGCGCACGAGAACCTGGTAACTCCGCCGCGGAAGACCAGGAAGACGGGTCTGGCCTGCGGCGGGCCGCTCTCCCCCGTGGACATCCAGGAGCAGCAGGCGATTTTCGCATCCATTGTGGCGCAGGCACACGGCGAGACCCTCGTGGTGGACGACGATGGCGTCGACTTGGATGCCGAAATGGAGACGCTCCTCGATGACATCGAGGCGGAGCGCGTTGGCGGCGCGAGCCAGCTTCCGGGTGACCAGACGGACTGATCCAGCGGTAGCTGGCCTGGCAAGTGACGCGGGAACGCACAGGCGAAAGGTGCGCGGCGACGCATGTTGTTTATGACGGCTGGAGCGAGCTGATATGAATGCATTGATGTATATGCTTGTTCGCTTTCCAGATGTAGATGCCTTCCGCGTTGCGATATGTTGGGCGAGTGACATAGGAATGCCCATGCGAAATGTGCGCGGATACGCATATTGTTTACGACGGTTGTGAACTGTGCGAAACAGCATCATCCTCAGCGGGTTCTGTGGGCGATCGCACGTGTAGTCTTCAACCTGCCGTCTTCCACTGCCACCACTCGGTCGATTCGAACCCTGTCGTTCTTGGCTCAAGTGTGAGAAAGCCACCGAGCCCGCCCGCCAGCCCCGTCGGCAGCCAGGCGGCCGCCACCCCGCGCGCGTCGCCCATGGGTAAGCCATGGCCAGTCGCCAAGCGCGGAAAGGCTCGCATGGCCATGCGGCCCGTGCCCATGAAGAAGGTGAAGAAGAGCTCACTCCTGCGCAAACCGAAGAACGTCCCATACACGCGCCACGGGTCTTCCTCGGTCAGGTCGCGCCTCGACAGGGCAGCATGGGCTCGGTGCTTGAAGGACTTCGTGAACGCGACGACCAAGCAGGTGATCGACCGCTTGAAGAAGGACAAGGTCTTGCCTGAGTGGAAGGGCGCGAAGTGCCCCTACTGCCAGATCGGCAAGCTGGGCCCCTTGAAGGACCATGGCAAGAAGAAGGGCGGGTGGACCCACAAATGCTCGAGCGACTGCTGCCGACGCTTCCTCATGCCGCACGCCTTCCACCCTATCTTCAAATGCGGCACGGGGTCGTCGGGGGGGCGCTTGGCGGACCAGGCCGCCGCGCTGTTCTGCGCCGTGGCCCAGTGCTCGCAGACGTCCGCCCGCCTCTTGTTGAAGAACAACCACAAGATGACAGAGGGCATTTACTCTGCGCTGTATGCAGCCCGCGCCAAGTACGTCAACTCCCACGAGAGGAACATCTCCTTTGGTCATGACCAGGACGGCAACGCGCTCGAGTGGGCGGACGTGGAGGCGGACGAGGTCGACGTGGCGAAGGGCGAGGACCCGAACGCTGGCCCCCGCACGCAGAAGCCCATCATCTGGGAGCAGTGGGGCGGCATCGCGCAGCGGGGGCACCCCAGGTCCTTGGTCCTCTTCAGGTTGAAGCCAGAGAAGGCCAAGCGTAGGGCGCCTGGCCCTGGCCCGATTCGGAAGAGGGATTGGGCGCCCATGGCGTCCAAGTGGCTAAAGCACCGCCGCGTCATCCTCCACGCGGACGGGGCGAGGTCCTACAAGATGAAAGTCGATGGCGTCTTGCACGACTGGGTCGTGCACAAGAAGAAAAGGGTGCGGGTTGGCGGGAAGTGGGCGCGGCTGAAGCCGGCATTCACGAAGATCCGCTACCACGACGTCCCTGACCAGAGCAAGCCCAGCGGGACGAAGCGCTTGTGGGTGAAGTGCGGCACCCAGGTGATCGACCGCGCGTGGGGCGACCTGCGCAAGGCGGTCGGCAAGGGCATTGCGAAGACGGTGGGGTCTGTCCTTCTCCGCAACAAGGCAGGCCAGATGAACGACGTGCAACGCGTTTGTTTGCGTAGGCGCTGTCTCCTCAATCTTCAGTGCAGCTGAACGCCGCCCAGGGGGGTGGGAGGTGTTGCCCGGCGCGGGAAAGGTTGGCGGGTGGCATGCGCTGAGGTTTGGAGAGGCGGCCCAGCGCGACATGCGCAGTTGCTGCTCGCTCTCTGGCCTATGCAAGGTGCGCTCCTTCCAGTGGACGTACTGGAACCGCGGCAGCGATCTCTGGCTCGCTACTGGCCAGATGCTCCGCGACGCGTGGGCCAAGGACCACGCTCAGTGAGCTCTCTCGCTGGCGCAGCCGAGCCCGCTTGGAGATCGGCGCGCAGGAGCAGCCAGGTGGCCAGGCGGAGTGATCTAGTGGCGACAGGCTTGGCGTTCGGAGTGAGAGTGGCCAGGCGTACGGCGCGCGTTTGCGCTTGTTGTCTATTTCGCTTGGGCCGAGTTAGTTCTTGAGACCAGAGGTGTGTTCACATTGCCCCTCTTCATATAGATGCCACCCGCGTTGCGATATGTCGGGCGAATGATATGGCAATGCCCAGGCGAAATGTGCGCGGATCCGCATATTGTTTGCGATCGTAGTGAAGTGAGCTGAACATCATCATCTTCAGCTGCGCGCGGGCGCTATCGCGCGCTTCGCCAGCGCGCACTTGCGCGCAGGAAGAGGAAGAACAGACGGAGGAGGAGTGAGAGGAGGAGGAGAAGGAGGAGGAGGAGGAGGAGGAGGAGAAGGAGGAGGAGGAGGAGGAGGAGGAGGAGAAGGAATTCTATTGGAAAGCCTCACAAAAGGAATCCTTTGGAAAGCATCACAAAGGGATTCTATTGGAAAGCCTCACAAAAGGAATCCTTCGGAAAGCATCACAAGGGAATTCTATTGGAAAGCCTCACAAAAGGAATCCTTTGGAAAGCGCCACAAAGGGATTCTATTGGAAAGCCGCACAAAGAAATTCTATTGCAAAGCACCACTGCCCACCAAACCATGCTATTCACATGTTTTTTTTGGTTTTTTTGGTCAGGGAAGCCACGAAACCTTGCTATTCACAGGTTTTTTTTGTTTTTTTGGTTTTCAGAAGCTCCACAAGCTTGGCCAGAAGGGGACCGCGGGGGCTTGCGGAGCCTCTGAAAACAAAAAAAACAAAAAAAAAAAAAAAACATGTGAATAGCAGCGTTTGGTGGCTTCCTAGACCGAAAAAACAAAAAAAACATGTGAATAGCAGCGTTTGGTGGGATCGTGGCCACCAAACGCTGCTATTCACATGTTTTTTTTGTTTTCAGCCGTCCATAAGACCTCCTGGCCTAGTTTGTGGAGCTTCTGAAAACCAAAAAAACCAAAAAAAAACCTGTGAATAGCAAGGTTTCGTGGCTTCCCTGACCAAAAAAACCCAAAAAACCTGTGAATAGCATGGCTTCCTCCTCATCCTAATCCTCAACCTCCTGGTCCTCCTCCTCCTCCTCCTCATCCTCTTCCTCTTCGTTTTCATATTTGGAGGAGGAAAGGAGTAGGATGAGGAGGAGGAGGAGGAGGAGGAGGAGGAGGAGGAGGAGGAGGAGGAGCAACGGAAAGAGAGCGATGGGTGCACACGGGGTGCTGGGGGGGGGGCTGACCATATATATATATATAAATATATATATATATGGCATACATAGGGGGGGGGGGGAACGAGAATGACATAAACATAAAAACTCGAAGGTCCGCGCGGATTTCTCGGATCGGCCCTGGACCCCCCTCCCTGGCGCGCGAAGCACGCCAGGGGCGGCGCAGGAGGAGCCGCCAGGGGGCTCCAGCGCGGATCCGACAAATCCGCACGGACCTTCGAGTTTGTATGTTTATGTCATCCTTCGTTCCCCCAATACTTTGGCCCCCGGGGGTCCGAAGATGGCCATGTTCTCCGCAGGCCGAGATCCCCGAAATCGACCCTCCAGGCGGTGGCCCTGTATAATTGGCTCGGGCATGTCCCCCTGCAGGCGGACTTCGGGCGAAAATGAAAAAATGGTCGAAAACTACTCCAAAAATGCTGAAACATAGTCCATCCATCGTCCCCGGACTATCTTCAGGGGGGCGTAAGACCCGGGTACAGGGGACTCGGAAATCCCCGACGAGGTCGTCAAAAAAATGACGAGGCCGAGCCTGCATTTTGACGAGGCCTCCCGCTGCAGACATCCCACGAAACTCCTCCTCGTCAAAATCCGAGGCGCGGTCGTCAAAAAACGATGGCGAACCCGAGTCCTGGCAAACCCGGGTCTTACGCTCCCCCGATCCTCCTGCAGAGGGACCCGCCCGATGGAACTGTACCGGCTCCCGCCTCGGCCGACGGGCGGCCTCCGACCGGCCGCGCGCAGGCCCGCGCGCCGCAGCGGCGCGCCGCAGGGGCCCTGGGCCGCCCTCCCCTTGCGAGGCCCTGAGCCAGGCTCGCCAGGGAGGAGGAGGAGGAGGGGGAGGGGGAGGAGGAGGAGGGGGAGGAGGAGGAGGAGGAGGAGGGAGGAGGGAGGAGGGAGGAGGGAGGAGGGAGGAGGGAGGAGGGAGGAGGAGGAGCGAGGAGGAGGAGGAGGGAGGAGGAGGAGGAGGGAGGAGGAGGAGACGAGAAGGAGGAGGAGAAAGGCTCGCCAGGAGGAGGAGAAAGGCTCGCCAGGGGAGCGTACGTGCCGGGGCGCAGGGGGGATCGGCCCGAATGGCGTCTTCGTTGCGCCTCTTCGTGCTGCCTTTGCTTCCATGTTCTTCGTCGTGTCGTGCCGCGCTCGTGCCGGTCTCGCGCTGTGTTCGCCCACGAGCTGCACGAGCGTGCCCAAGCACCGTCTGGGCCGACCCCCGCTGGGACACAGGGGTGGGCCCAAACGTAGGTCGGGCATGTCCGCCTAGACGGGCGGATCGTGGAAGAGAAATGAAGGATGGCCCAACAAAAAATACGCTGAAATTGACACCAGAGCACGAAACATCGTCCCCAGACTGTTTTTGCACGGTTCTTGAATATTCCTCCTGTAGAGGGACATGCCCGACTCAAACCTAAACAGATGTTGCTCGTTTTCGTATTGTGTTTGTCCCTCTTTAGTCTTCAGTCGCCAACGAACTCGCCCGAACACCGTTTCGGTCGACCCCTGTTGGGACAATGCCTCTGTACTACAAGCTTCGTAAAAAAGGGAGGAGGTCACGCCCCTCCCAGGCGAGCAGCTTGGGGACCCCCAGACCCCCAAATCAGCACTGGAGGGGCTGCCTTCTGCTCGGGCACCCCCCACGACAGGGCTGAACCTAAACGGTGTTTTTCGTTTTCGTCTTGTTTTCGTGTTCCTTCGTTTTGTCTTCAATCCGCCTTCACCGCAAAACGAAGTCGAAACGAAAACGGCCCACGAAATCACAAAAACACCGTTTTAGGTCCAGCCCTGCCCCACGAACCCTCCAAGACAGCTCAAATCAGACCCCCCACCCGAAGCCCAGCCCGAGCCAGGCTCGCTGGGGGAGCGCAGGTGCTGGGACAGTGCTCCGACGAAGCCAGGACGAGGATAACATGGAGCGAGGACGGGCAAATCGAGAATCTCTGAGATCCAGCGAATCTGGAAGATGTCTCGGGCGCCGCGGCCTTCTCAGAGCGTTCTTCGACGAGCGCGTTCCACTACTCGCGAAGTGAGTACTCGCAAATGGCCTGGATCCGCTGGGGGGGATCTACGAGAAATGACATCGAAGCAGACATGTGTTTTTCGGACGTTTGCGAGTAGGCACTTTGCGAGTAGTGGAACGCGCTCTGGGAGTTCTGGAACGCTTTGATCCTCGTCCAAGCCCCGTCCGAAATGCTCCCATACCTGTTCGGAGATCGTTTTAGATCTCTCGGCGATGACCCGGGTTATCCTTGTGGGTGCCGTCGATAACCTGTCCGTTGCGCTTTAGGCAGCCCGACGTATGTCCGTGCTCACCAATACTGTGTACCCCCCTCGGACCTAAGGTGTGTCGAAAGGGCCGGAGATGTCCCGATGTTGCTTCAAGATGGTACAAGATAATTAATCCAAGATGGCTCAAGATAGCTGCCGAGATGTTTCCAAGAGACCCCAAGACCGCCCCAAGGCGGCTCCAAGTGGCCACGGAGACTCCGAAGGAGGCCCTCGAAAGACCAATCCTCTGAGGCCATGAGATGGCCCTAAAATCGACCGATAGAGCCCCAAGAGGAGCCCAAGAGGAGCCCAACAGGGCCCCAAGACGGCCCCAGGAGGGCCCAAGAGCCCCCCGCCTAGCGTGTGCCAACATGCCAATTCCTGCTCCTCCTCCTCCTCCTCCTCGCTCCTCCTTCCTCCTCCTCCTCCTCCTGCTACCTCCTCTCCTCCCTCCTCCTCCTCCTCCCCTCCTCCTCCTCCTCCTCCTCCTCCTCCTCCTCCTCCTCCTCCCTCTCCTCGCTCCTCCTCCTCTCTCCTCGCTCCTCCTCGCTCCTCGCTCCTCCTGCTCCTCGTCTCCTCCTCCTCCTCCTCGCCTCCTCCTCCTCCTCTTCCTCCTCTCCCTCCTCCTCCTCCTCCTCCTCCTTCTCCTCCTCCTCTTCCTCCTCCTCCTCCGCCTCCTCCTCCTCCCCCTCCTGCGCAAAGAAAGATGGCGCCAAAGGCCCCTCCCCCTGTGGCCGCACCCCCCCTGGAGCGGTACCCCCCCGGAGACTTTTGCGAGACGTTGTGGGGTTCTCTCCCGGGGGGTAGCCCGCGCCGCCAGCAACGCCATTGAGGCATGTCTCTAGGGGCTGCGCCTAACTAAACAGAGGGCCCTGGGGGAGCCCAACAGCGCCCGTGAGAGCTCCCACAGGGCCCGTCAGGCCCTGAGACAAGGCCTGGGGGGGACCAAGACGCCCCGCCCACCCGCCCCCCGCGGGAGAGCATCTCAAACGGCCGCGTCAGATGCTCTACCACGGGGGCACCAAGAGGGCGCCCCGAGGGCCCCACAAGGGCTGCAGGAGGGCCCGAGAGGGCCAGGAGGGGCCCAAGACATGTCCTGGGGATCCAAGGACGCCCGAAGCGCCCCCCCCACGGTAGAGCATCTGAAGCGTCCGTTTCCGATGCTCTGCAGCGGCGGACCCGAGAGGGCGCCAGGAGGGCCCCGAGATGGCTCCAGGGGGGCCCGAGAGGGTTCCCACGAGGGCCCCAAGATGGCCCGAAGAGGCGCCCAAGAGGCCCCGAGAGACCCCCAAGATGCCACCAGGAAGCGCCGAGGAAGCTCCCGAGCGGCCCTCAGGAGCCCCCAAGGGGCCCCCCAGAGGCACCAAAGATGCCCCAAGCAGCCCCTGCAACCGCAAAGAGGGAACCAAAAAGCCCCAAGAGGTCTCCGAGAAGCGCCCAAGAAGATACCTGAAGACACTCCGAGAGGCATCGAAGAGGCCTCTGGCCCCTCCGCTCGCCCTCCTCATCCTCCCCTCCGCCTCCTCATCCGTCTGTTCGTCCTCCATATCCGTCCACCCTCACATGTCCTCACTCTCCTTCAAACGATAACGGTTACCCTCCCCCGTTGCTCCTACATGCCCCTGCTCACCTCGACTGGACTGGGCATCGCTTCTGGATGGGCTGGTGGGAAAATGCGAAACGTCAAGCATTCGTTCGCACTCAATTCCACCAGCCACATAAAGGCCAGACTGCGCATGTACGGTGGTTTTTCTTAAGGAGAACAACAAAATTGGCCCTGACCCCGGATCCAACGACCTGGCTCTACTTCAAACCACAACTCACGCGGCCAATTCTGGTCTGTTCCAAAACGAAACGCGCCTTCAAGACACCACCTCGGGCGCGGCGCTTGATCGGGGATTTGCTCGCGACGCCCCAGACGCCCCAGATCATCCCCCCGGAGCAGGAAAAATCAGCTTCAGGCCTCCTCCTCCTCCTCCTCCTCCTCCTCCTCCTCCTCCTCTGAGATGGTCGCGAGATCCGCGGGCTGGTCTCCCGAAGGGGGACCGCCCTGGCCCCCGCCTGGCTGGCTCAACTCTCCTCGCGTTCTGACGCCGCCTCGGGGATGGACAGACCTCCCTTTAGTAAAACGTGGTTTAGTGAAAACGACCTCGGGCCCAAACCTGGCGGGCGCAAGCCTGGAAAATGACGGCCGCGGCGCCCTCTCGAGAACCGAAAACGGACAATTCACAAATCGACGTGTCAGGGTAGGAGGTCTGTCCACCCCCGACCGCCATCCCAGGGAACGACGGCTCTCCGGCCCAGGCCGCGACCCGCGAGGCACGAGCATCTTCGCCCCCGAGTGCCCTATGGGAGAACGGGGGAGAGGCGAGGGGAGGGAGGGGGCGACGGGGAGGGCAAGGAGGAGGAGGACAAAGAGGGAGGGGGGGCAGGGGAGATGGAGGGGGAGGGAGAGCCCGGAGATGTAGCCGACTGAGCCGTCCCTGGAAGGGGGGGGCGCGCTCGGGTGCTGAAACGTCCGATGCGTGAAATCCTCGCTCTACCGACTGGTCAGGCGGGCTGACAACACTCCCCCAGGCGCACGCTCACCACCGAGCCCACAGCCTGGGCCCGCGAGCCAGGTGCCAGCGGTCTTCGGAGCGGGCGTGGTGGAGGGCCCTCGAGGCACGCGGACCGCCCTCTCGAGCGCTGTGGCCCCCCCCCCCGGCAGAGGGGCCAGGCCGAGGGAGAAGGACGCATATGGCCGCGGCGGGAAAGCAGGCGGGCGCGGAGGCAGCGACCGGGGCGCGCTTTCTCGCCCTCGCGCACGCAAGGGCGGCGCCTCGCCACCACGGCGGGTCCCTGGCGCGCACTCCGGCCCGACGAGTGCGCAGCTCTGGCCGGCAGCGCTCCCACAGCACTCACAGGTCACGATTGAGTGCAGCGCGCAGCGGCTCGTCGAGCGCACGGCTCGCCGAGCGAAGGCCAGAAAAGCGTCGGAGGTCTCCGCCTGCGCAGCCTCCCCCTCTTCCCCCCTCACTCTTCCTTCTTCCTCCTTCCTCCTGCTCCTTCACCACCCTTACCACCACCGCTGCCAGAAACAGGAACGTCAACGCCACCACCACCACCACCACGTCCATCAGAATCACCCCCATCACCACAATCACCATCATCACCATCACCTCCAGTACCGTGACCATCACCACCGTCACCACCATCACCACCATCACCAGAACCATCACCACCAGCACCATCACCACCATCAACATCACCAGCATCCCCCACAACACCATCACGCCCGCCATCTCCACATCCGTCTCCATCTCCACCCCTCCTTTCCCCTCTCCGCCCTGCTCCCCCTCTCTCCGCCCCCTCTCCCGTGGCGCGCTTTAACGAAGATCCCGAGGCGTTTCCAGCCGAGGCGACAAGGGTACTCCAAAACGAGAAGCAGCATCTGTATTTTCTCCTCCTCCTCCTCTGAAATAGTGGGAGGGAGGGACAGAGAAAGAGGAGGAGCACAAGGAACGAGGGAGGAGGAGGAGGAGGAAGAGGAGGAGGAGGAGGAGCAGGAGGA